AAAAGGCTGATGATTGGCATTTGATCAGGGCCCTGCTTATTCCTTAGTTATAGGGCAAGTCTTTAGCTAAAACCATTCTAATTGATTAGTTGTACTTACCAACAATTAATCACAATGGAAAAGCAAATGGGAGACTTTCCAGCAAGATCCCATGCTGTGGCCCTGTGTTAGGTTGCTTTATTATGCTCTGTACATACAAGCTTTTTTGAGGTTTTTTTTTTTTTAAGTTAAAAAATGACATGTGTTAAAGTATTTTTTGTAAATAAAAAGAAAAAAAAAGGGGAAAAGTTTTGCAGTTGAAATGCCAAAGAGGAAAGCAGAATATAAATCAAGGCTTAAAGTAGTACATAATCTTCAACAAAGAATCTTTTATCCGCAGTTCGGGTTGTAGAATGAAGGGAAACCAAATCCCATTTAGATATATGTTACTAAAATAAAATATGATGGAAAGAAACTAATTGTGTTTGTTGGAAAGCATTCCCTTGATGCCTTTATAGGATATCAAAAGCCTTCATTTATATCAGATACCCAGAGACAGCTCTGGGACAAGCAGCCCTTCTCTTATGCTTATATATCTGGTGAACTTTGTGCCTTAATGCTTTTGAGAATGCTCTTCTTTGTTCACCAGCTGCAACACTGCGAGCTGTGAAAGCCAAAGATAGAGATAACCTATTGGCAGCACCTCCTGCTCCTTTCAGTGACCCACCCAAACCTTCTGTTTTAAGCTCTTTAATAAGAATCAAGCAGAGTTAAGACTGGTATCTCTTTGGCCAGCAGAATAGTACATTGATGCAAATAGAACTGAGTTTTGAACAGGCAGATGACAGATAACTGTGAGGTCCTTTTGTGATTGATGACTGAAATCGCCAGCCTGAGCCAAGAGTGAGACCCTTCCCTACAAAAATTACTGGGTATGATGGCACACACCTATAGTCTAGCGTACTCAGGGAGCTGAGGCAGGAAGACTGAGCCCAGGAATTTGGAGGTTGCAGGACCTACGACACGTCCACTGCACGTCTGGCCCAAGCAACAAGCAAGATACTGTCTAGAAGAAGAGAAGGCGGGCGCGTTGGTGTCCACGCCTGTAATCTAAGGCTCTTGGGAGGCGAGGCGGGCGATTGGCTCGAGTCAGGAGTCGAAAACCAGCCCTGAGCGAAGAGCGAGACCGCCGTCCTTACAATAAAGAGGAAAGAAAAATTGGCCAACTGATATATTAAGTAAAAAAGTAGCCGGGCCTGGTGGTGCATGCTGTAGTGCCCAGCTACCCGAGGCGAGGCAGAAGGATCTCCATCGAGCCCAGAAGTTGAGGTTCTGTGAGCCTAGGCGACGCGCACGGCACTCACTGTATCCTGGGCAAACAAAGCTGAGACTCAAAACTGTATCAAAAAAAAAAAAAAGAAGAAGAGAAGAAGAAGGGAAAGATCAGGAGTCAGGTAGAAAAGTTTGACAGTTGAATTAATAACATAGGACTTAAAATATCTATAAAAGATGTTAAGACTTAAAGGTACCAGAGGTCATCAATGAATGAACATTGATGGATCTAAGAGAAATCGGAAAACATGAAAAAAGAAAGGAAATTTAGAAATGAAACATCTGCAAGTAATGCTAAAGGAATAAATCACTGATATGAATTAAAAAATCAAGCCACTTAACAAACATTAAGTTGGAGATCCACGACAACCACATAGAAAAGAATAACTATAATCTCAGAATGAAGTTGGAAGGATAATCAAAGAAGATACAAAGAGAAACGAAAATTGCATAATAAAAGCCCCTTTTGAAATAAATAAAGGAATTTCAAATGGCTTGCAGAAAGAAGCTAAGCAAGTATTAGAAAGTAAACAAAAGATTTATAACCAAGCACACACACCCGGAAATACTAATGATTCCATTTACAGAAATCAAGACAGTGCAGTATGCTTAAAGAGAGAATGAATTAGAGAGACATGAGGACCAGACTTCAGGGTGAGGAAATATCTATATTTTGATGTATGTGATTACATGGATGTACACAACGAACCAAAATCCTCAATAAAATGTACGCTTAAAGACCTATTATTTCTACTGTGTCAACTAAGAAACTTACCCACGAAAATCAGGAAAAAATAAATAAGGAATACAAAGAAAGGTGAGAAATACGGAACAGATAGAAATGATGTTACCCTAAACCCGCCAACCATTATCTAACGAATATACTTATTACGAATGTAAGCATGTGATAGAAAACATATAGCTTTTTTCTTGCTAATCGTCCTGAAAATTCACCAAACAAAAAAAAAAGAAAGAGAAATTAATGACCTTCCTGTGGCAGCACTGCCTACTCAATAACTGACTCCCATGGTGATTCACGCAACCTGAATTCGCGCCTTATGTATCCCTCTTACGTGTGTTGTGCCTATTTAGCAACTTGCTTCTACAAAAAGAAAAAGATAGGCAAAAAAAAAAAAGTAATAGGAAAGTAAATTTGAACACTTCCGAGTATTTAGTTTAACAAAAGATGTACCTTCCATCTTTCTGTTTCTCTCTGTTTTCCTTCCATCTCACCTCCATCCACTTACACTCGGAAAGCAAGCGTCATATTGTGACCTGCCCTGGACTTTCTTTGACCCCTGCTTAAATGGGTTCAAACCGCCCATCACACATAGAAGTACCTGTTAGCAGCATTAAACAAGGTAACCCTCACCTACATCTCAAAGCAGGAAGATTTTTATCAAGTAGACAGGTTATACTATACTGAATTTGAAAGAGCATACTGGATTCTTATTGTTTCTATGCTAAACCTGTAAATTGTTATTTAACGAGGGGTATCAGAAGGCCAGAAAACCACACATGAACCCGATACCAAACAAAATATTAAACAGCTATGAATTAACATGGCAAAATAATTTTGAGATAGACTGAAATAATACATGTAGGTATAGGGAAATCATGCATGGTTTCAGACTGAGACTTTGCTAGCTCACAAAATGGAAAGCATAAGACGCAGAAATAACTAATGTACAGCAACTCTGAAAAACTAAGTTCCCCTTTTGGAAATACGGAGCCCACACAATACAGAACCGCTCTTGCGCAAGACCTGCCTTGCAACTAATAATATATAAGAAAAAAATAAAGGTGAGTAAAAGCTGATTTTCAAGCGTTAAAATTCAATGAAAATTTAAATAGGGCCAGAGAGTCTCATTACATAATACACAAAAATGTTTCGCAGATTGTCAGCAGTATATATGTCACCCTCTCCTACCGGAGCCGAAGAACTAAGTGAAAATCACAACATGAAGAGAAAACCACAATCCATAGAAACGCCAAACACAAAAATATATTCAGATTTTTGAAAGTATCTGTCAAAATTTCTTATTTTTATTTTTTGAAGACAGAGTATCGCTTTGTTGCCCAGGCTAGTAAGATGAGTGCACCTGTTCGATTCGGGGCGTCACTAGCTCAAACAGCCAAAACCTCAAACTCCCTGGGCGTCAGTGATCCTTCCCTGCCTCAAGCCCTCCCTGAAAACCAATTATTTTTATTTCATGCAAATATTTATTTTATCATTTATTGTTTATTTTTTTTCTCTTTTTAGCTTTTAAAAGGGGCCAGGTTGGAAACAATATGGTTATTATTATCGCGGACCAAAGCCATAGGAAAAATATATGAACTTTCACAAGTCTGTAACCAGAAAAAACACCAAAACAAATCTTTAAAAGTGGCTGGTTTTTTTTTTTTTTTTACCTTTTTTTTTGAGACAGACGTTCTTGTTTAAGTTTTTTGCCCAGGCCTACAGTTGAGTTGCCCGTGGCGTCAAAGCCCGACGCTCAACAGGCAACCTCAAACTCCTTGGGCTCAAGCAATCCTGCCTGCCCATCAGCCTCGCCGAGTAAGGCTGGGACTACAGGCCAAAATAGCACCTACCCATGCTGGCTAATTTTTTCTATATATATTTAGTTTGGGCGCAAATAATTCTTCATATTATAGTAGAGACGGGTCTCGCTCTTTGCCAGGCTGTCTCCGAACATCCTGACCCCGAGCCCAATCGCCCATCTCGGCCTCGCCAATAAGTGCCTAGGAAATTAAAGGCGTGAAGCCCCCCGTTTGCTGCCCTTTCTTCTTATTTTTATTTAAATTTTAACAAAAAAACATTTTTTTTTTCTTAAATATATAATTTTTTTCTTTTTTGCAAAAAAACAAAGCTTTATAAGATAAAAGCAATTGTTATTATATTTTGGGGTACTAGAAATCATAGACAACATTAAAGATTCTCAGTGGCCCAGTTAGTACATCAAGATGAAATTTGTCTAGTTCCAGGCAGAGGAAGAAAACTAAAGTAAATTTCTTTTTTTCTTCCTTGCAGGTTCCTTTTGCCAATTAAAATTCCATCTTCTCACTTAGAAATTCCGTTTAAAAAGGGAAGAGCTTCGGCCGGGCGCGGTGGCTTCGCTTACTTGGTAATCCTACACCTGGGAGGCGCCCAAAGGGGGCGTGATTTGCTGCAAATCGGAGCCCCTGGAAACCAGCCTGAACAAAGACAGACGTCTCTACTGAAAATACAGAAGAAATAATTGGAACATAAAAAATATACTAGAGGTGAAAGGCCGCGGTGGCTCACACATGTAATTTCCTAGCAATCTTGGGAAGACGCGAGGCAGGCGGGAATTGCTCGAGGTTCAAGAGTTTCGAGAAACCAGCAAAACCCTTGAGCAAGAGGCCGAAGAACCTCGCCTCTTACTCTAAATAGAAAAGAAAATTAATTTGGGCAGTAATATGTATCATGAAAAAAATTAGCCGGGCAAAGGTGGCAGCCATAATGCCTTGTAAGATCGGCCAGCTTACCTCGGAGAGTTCTGAGGCAGGAGATCGCTTTGAGCCCCAGGATTTTGAAGGTTGCTGTTTTGACTAGGCTAACACCATGGCACTCGCTCTAGGCCCTGGCCACAGATCGAGAGTTTCCCTGGTTAATCTTCAATAAAAATAAATAAATAAATAAGGAGAATAGCTTCAAACAAACTTCCAGGGCTTTTCTTGATACACAACAGGAAACCGAAGTAGAAAGAAACAAGAAAATCAAATCAAGACACCACAGGGAGTCTTGCCCATCTGTTGAAGTTGAATTAATAGACAAGGACTTAAAATTATCTATCAAAAAGATGTTCAAGAACTTAAAGGTAAAGATGGTCATAATGAATGAACAGATGGGAAATCTTAAAGAAGAAATGGAAACATGAAAAAAGAAAAATGAAATTCTAGAAATGAAACCTGCAATATCTAAAGTGAAAAATTCACTAGATAGGCTTAACAACATAGTGAAGACAGCAAGAGAAAGATTCAGTGAAGTTGAAGATAGATCAAAGAAGTATACAAACAAAGAGAGATTGCAAAAAAGCTGATAAAGGGAATCTCAAAATAGGCTGCATGAAAGAAACCAGAAGCAATATAGTATATGTAAACAAAAGAGTTTATACACACAAACACACACACGGAAATACTACATGATTCCATTTACATGAAATTCAAGAACAGGCAGTAATTGCTAAAGAGGAGTAGGAATTGAATAGAGAGGACATGAGGGAACTTTCTAGGGTGATGGAAATATTCTATATTTTGATTGTAGTGATTACATGGATGTACACGACAACCAAATCTCATAAAATGTACACTTAAGACCTATGTATTTCACTGTGTCAACTAGATTAACCTACAAGAATGCAGGAAGAAAATAAACAGGAATACAAAACACGTGAGAGAAATAGGGAACAGATAAGAAAATGATGTACTTAAACCCAACCATATCAACAATTACTAATTAAGAATTGGTAAGCATGTGAGTAAATATGAAACTTAGCTTTTTTCTTGTCTTAATGTCTCTGAAAACTACAAAACAATGATGAGAGAAATTAAAGACTGTGGCAGCCTGCTACTAATATGACTCCATGTGATTCACTAACCTGACATTCGTGCCCTTATGTAATCCCCTCTTACTGTGTGTTGGCCTGATTTAGCAACTTGCTTCTAACAAGAAGAAGATAGCAAAAGTAATAAGATGACACTTCTGAGATTAGTTTACAAAAGACTGTTACTTCCATCTTTCTGTTTCTCTCTTTCCTTCACTCTCACTCATCTCACTTGATCACTCAGGAAGCAAGCTGTCATATTGTGACCTGCCCTGGATTTTGACCCTGCTTAAATGGGTTCATCACTCCTACACAGCAGTAACAAGGTGACCCTCACACATCCAAAGCAGGATTTTACAAGAGAGGAAACTGATGAAAGGGATTCTTTAAACCTGTATATGAAGTCATAGGCAGACCCCTGACCCACATATAAACCAGCTAGAATTAACATTGCAAAAAATTTGAGAGCTGAATTACAGTGTGGAATATCATGCAGGTTTTCAGACTGGTCTTTGCTAGCTCACAAATGAAGCAGACCAGAATAACACTGTAAGCACTCTGAAAACTAAAGTGTCTTTGGAATGACAGCCCACACAATAAAGCCAAGACCTGTGCACTAAAATAAATAGGGTGGCTGTCAGCTAAAATAGAAAATTTAAATAGGGCCCAGAGTCTCATAACATAATACACTAAATGTCCAGATTTCAGCAGAAAATCTCTCACGCCAAGAACTAGGAAAATCACAACATGAATGAGAAAACACAATCCATAGATGCCAACACAAAGATAATTCAGATGTTGAAATTATCTGTCAAAAGATTTTATTTTATTTTCATTTGCATATGTATTTATTTAGACTGCGGCACCAACAGCATGATGATGAACTGTCACAAGTCTGTACCAAGAAGCACACAATCTTTAAAATGTGCTGGGTTTTTTTTTTTTTTCTTTGAGACAGAGTCTCGCTTTGTTGCCCAGGCTACAGTGAGTGCGTGCGTCAGCCTAGCTCACAGCAACCTCAAACTCTGGGCTCAAGCAATCCTTCTGCCTCAGCCTCCTGAGTAGCTGGGGACTACAGGCATGCGCCACGATGCCTGGCTAATTTTTTCTATATGTATTAGTTTGGTCATTATTCTTTCTATTTATAGTAGAGACGGGGTCTTGCCCTTGCTCAGGCTGTCTCGAACTCCTGACCTCGAGCAATCCGCCCGCCTCGCCTCCCAGAGTGCAGTGATACAGGCGTGAGCCACCGTGCCTGGCCTTTTTCTTATTTTTATTTAAAAATTTTAAGCAAAAAACATTTTTTCTTTAAAATATTTTTTTTCTTTTTTTTTGCAAAAAACACAAAGCTTGTATAAGTAAAGCATTGTTATTATTATTTGGTACTAGAATCAAAGACAACATTTAGATTCTTCAGCTTTGGGGCATTAGTAACATCAAGATGATTGTCTAGTCAGGCAGAGGAAGAGAACTCAAAAGTAGTTTCTTTTTCTTCTGCAGGTTCCTTTGCAATAAAATCCATCTTCTCACTTGAGAAATCGTTAATAAGGAGAGCTTCGGCCGGGCGCGGTGGCTCCTACTTGTAATCCTAGCACTCTGGGAGGCCAAGGGGGGTGGATTGCTCAAGATCAGGAGCTGGAAACCAGCCTGAGCAAGAGCGAGACCCTGTCTCTACTGAAAATACAAAGAAATTAATTGGACAGCTAAAAATATATAGAGGTCAGGCGCGGTGGCTCACACATGTAATCCTAGCACTCTGGGAGACCGAGGCAGGCGGATTGCTCGAGGTCAGGAGTTCGAGACCAGCCTGAGCAAGAGCCGAGGACCCACCATCTACTCTAAATAGAAAGAAATTAATTGGGCCATAATATGGTATAGAAAGTAATTAGCCGGGCATCGGTGGCGCATGGGTCTGTAGTCCCAGCTTCTATCGGTCTGCAGCAGGGAGGATCGCTTGGCCATGAAATTTGAGGCGTTTGCTGTTGGAGTTGGCTAATCACCTGGCCTCGCTTAGCCTGGAGCACAGAGTGAGTTCTTGTCTCAAAAAAATAAATAAAAAAATAAGGAGAGCTTCAACAAACTTCCAGGGCTTTTTCTTGATTACAACAGGGAACGAGTAGAGCAGATCATCAGAAACACACAGGGTTGCATGGGCGATTAACCACCTCTCCCGACAGACACCATCCTCTGGGGTTCCAAACCAGATGTCTCTGGCATGGTCAGAGATGGCTTTTGCAGCAGACATCGCACTGGATACTTTTCAAGCCTTGGTGACAGGCGCATGACGTGCTGCCAAGTCGTGATGAGATTCTCCCTTGAGCCACGCTTTCATGCTTTCAGGCTTCATAAACACCAATTCCTTTCCTTGCGAACTTTCACTTGGGCATGTGTTTGACTCTGGATACTGAGGCAAGGAGATGGTTTCCCAGATAATGACATTCTTTTTTTTTTTTGAGACAGAGTTGTCACTTGTGTGTGTCCAGGCTAGTAGATGCGTGGCGGTCAGCCATGGCTCACACCAACCTCAAATCCTGTCAGATCCCTTCTGCCTCAGCTCCCGACGTTTAGTGGGACTACAGGCATGAGCCACCATGCCCGGCAAGGTAGTATTTTATATTATATTCATATATATATATATATACTCTATTATAGTATATATTATATATCAGTGGCCATAAATTTCTTTCTATTTTATAGTAGACGGTCCACTCTGTCAGCTCCTGGTTTTGAACTCCTGACCTTGAGCAATCCGCCCGCCTCCGCCTCCCAGAGAGCTAGGATTACAGGCGTGAGCCTCCACGCCCGGCCAACATTCTTTATTTCATCAGCAGTCACACCAAGTTTAGGAGCAATTTGAGCTTTAGCTCGGTTGTGATCCCAACACACCAAGCAACTGAAGTTCTCCTTGGGGGTGGATAGAGCTGACTTGGAGGCAGTCAGGCAGTTGGTATTGGCTGGGTTACCCACAACAATCACCTTCACTGACTTCTTGGAATATTTCTCCAAGGCTGCACCCTGGGATTTGAAGATGTTCACATTTGCTTTCGGTAAATCTTTCCTCCCTGTGCCTTCCCTTCTTGGCATGGAGCCCATGAGAATGGCCACATCCAGGTCTTTGAAGGCAACCTCTTCTTTGTCTGTTGTGGTAACATCTTTCAGGAGGGGAAGGGCACAGTCATGCAGTTCCATTCAGACACCATCCAGGACCCCCATCATGGGGGTACTATCCAACAGCACAAGAATTATAGGCCGGTCTTTACCAAAGACAGATCCATTTCCAATATTGTACAGCAGTGAATATGCAATTTGACCAGCTGCTCCAGTCATAAAGGATTCTGATTGGTTCAGACTTGATTGCAAACTGTGTGGACACTTGCAGCACCTGCAAAATGAGCCTCAGGGAGACTGAGGGAGTCAGGTCACCTCTACCGCGGAACCAACTCCTGTCTGTCAAAGATTTTAAAGCAGTCATTATAAAAATGGTCAATGAACAATTATACATTCTCCTGAAAGAAATGAAAATTTAAAATCTCAGCAAGTACAAAATATAAAAGTAGATAGACTCTTACGAAAGAGTCTATCTAGAATTGTTGAAATCCAGCCTCAGCAACATAGTGAGACCCTTTCTCCACAAAACATAGAAAAATTAGCCAGGTGTGGTGGCACAACCCTGTAGTCCCAGCTACTCCAGAGACTGAGCCAGGAGGAGGATCCCTTGAGCCCAGAAGTTTGAGGTTGCAGTGAGCTATGATAATGCCACTGCACTCCAGCCTGGGTAACAGAGTGAGAAACCCTTTCTCAGAAAAATAAATTATAAAATAATTGAAATGAAAAATAATAGTGACCAAAATAAAAAACTCTCTGGATGGACTCAGTAGCAGAGTGAAAATGATAGAGGAAAGAATCAGTGAACTGGAGATAGACCAATAGCACAATTCTAGAAGAAAATGCAAGAGAATATGCAAAGCTATCTTAGAACACAGAAATCACTAGAGTAAATGATTGAGCACGCTGTTTGTGTGCTTATTGCGCACATTGTATATTTTCCCTTTATGAAAATATCTACTTCAACGTCTTTGCCATTCTTTAAAAAATTTGGTTAATTAACATTTGAATTATAGATTTTCACCAAAATATTGAGAAAAATAAATGAAATTCGTATATAAACATATACTCTGGATAATAAGACTTATGGTAGATATATGTATTTTGTAAGATTATCTCTTTATCTTGGCTTGGCCTATTCGTTTTCCCAATGTGGACTTTTTTTTTTTTTTTGAGAGCAGCAGTCTCACTCTTTGCCCAGCAGCTAGGAGTGATGGCCACGTGGGCATCCAGCCCTAGCTCACAGAACCTCAAACTCTGGGCTCAAGCAATCCTACTGCCTCAGCTCCCATGTAGCTGGGACTACAGCCATGTCGCCACCATGCCCAGCCTAATTTTTTCTCTATATATTATGGCCAATTAAGTTTCTTTCCTATTTATATCAGAAGACGGGTCTTGCTCTTGGCTCAGGTTGGCTTTTGAACCCTGAGGCTCAAACGATCCACCAGCTTCAGCCCTCCCCAGAGTGCTAGGATTACAGACATGAGCACCGCAACCTGGCCCCCCAATGTGGACTTTTAATGAGCAGAAGTTTTTAATTTTGATGAAATCCCAATTTTATCAATTTTTCTTAAAGTTACGT